GGGGCCGACCACTCGGAGGAGAGGTTGTGTGCACCGGAGCATCTGTACTGGCCCCCGTAGGAGCGGCTCACAGGGCCCAGGGGGAAGTTGGCCTGAGAGAGCCCAGCCTGTGGCTGCCGGCCAGGGCGCTGGAGGAAGTCACGTCCCCACTCCTTGTACAGAGCAAATCTGTTGTAGTCGGCATCAGAGCCACACTGGAGGATCAGCTTCTCCCCAGGGGCCACGACAGGACCCGGCTGCACTGAGAGTGACGGCTTCTTAGAAACACCTGGGAAAAGGTGGTCACGGTTTCCAGGAGCGACCCTCAGGCTTCCCCACAAACCCTCCCTCTCCCCCTGGGCCTCACCACTGCTGATCTTCCTGTGTCTCTGGCCCCAGGAGCCCTGAGCCCTCTCGTCCCAACATCATCCCACCTGGCGCTGCCCTGAGACGCGGCTCCTCCCCACCTGCCCGGAGACTCAGGGAACTCCAGGCAATGCTGTGAATTTCTCACCTGGGACCAGGAGCTCCAGGAGATCACTGGGTAAAGACCACACATAGGGAGAGTGTGAGTCATAACCATAGCACCGGTACAACCACCTGCGACTCGGGCTCACGGGGCCCACGGAGAAGACGGCCCGGGATGACCCACGGGTACGGGGCTGGGAGATCAGGCATTGTGGGTGTTCATCTTCTCCTTCCTTACACAGAATGAAGCCGTCAAATGCCACCCGTGAGTCACACTGGAGGGTCACATTCCCTCCTGAGGCCACCACAGGGCTGGGCAGGGCTGAGAGGGTGGGTTTTCTGTAGGCTCCTGGGAGAGAAGGAGGCACCGTGTTAAATGGGCTCCCACCTCCCACATCATCCCCAGGGCTGGGCTGTGAGAGGGAGACACCCCTGAGAGCCGACCCCCTTCCTGAGGGCAGAGCCTGGGGCTGGGACCCCTGAGTGTCCTCTCACCTGTCACCACCAGCTCCAGGGGGTCACTGCGCTCTGACCAGCCTGCCGTGTGGCTACCATAGATACAGCGATACCGCCCTGCGTGCTCCCAGGTGATGGATGGGATGGGGAACTGGCCCTTCTTCACAAGCTCCTGTGGGATCCGTGTAATCCAGGGTGCTGTTTTTTCTTCTCTATATAGACGGTACTCCTGGGTCTCCAGGCTCCCCTGACACCTGAGGGTCACGGGACTCCCCTGGGTGATCACCGAGTCTGGCTCAGCCCAGAGGGTGGGTTTGGGGAGGGTGCCTGGAAGGAAATCAGAGTTCAGATTCTAAGTCATTTCCTACCCAACCCAACAGATTCCAGCTCCCAGCCCAGGACCCTCCAGATGCCCCCATCAGTCAGCCCAGATCTGCTATTCCCTGTCCCCAGCTGCACGGGGGTGGCCCCTTGTCCCCAGTGAGGAGAAGGGACCTGGGACAGCTGGGGACAGACTCACCTGCCTGCACACAGGTCCTCCAGCCCAGACTCAGCCCTGGAAGAGAGTTCCCGGTGAGAGATTTGCCCCTGAAGCCTGAGCAGGTCCTCCCCTCCCTGGGATCTTTGTGAGCCCCTGGGGTCTCCTTATGCACCAGAGTTTGGCTGTGAGGTGAGGCCCCTCCTAGGTTAGAATCTCCCCTCCCTCTTCAAATCTCACCGAGACAGATCAGGACCGTGAGGATGGGGGTCATGGCGTCTCCTCCCACTGCCCTGCTCTGCAGATGGATGAGCCCTCGGTGCTGGCAGGACAGAGACACAGGGTGTGGCCACTCGGAGGCTGGGTCCTTCTTATGGGGTTTTGTCATCTGCAGCCACACAGGAAGTGGAACTGCCCTCCCCAGGAACCTGGCTGTCATTCCTTTAGGTCTGAGGTAGGGGCAGGCCCAACCCCTTTGTAGATATTTCAGACAGAAATGGGGTCTTTCCTGACCCCCAGCCACCGTCTGTCTGGCTTGCCTTCATCTCGCTAAGACCTGGGATGTAGCAGGAGAAAGAACTGGTGCCTTCTTGAGTCAGCCGCTTTCAGGCGAGGGCGACCGTGGGCTCCTCTTCCCTCTCAGAGCCTCCCCATGGGGTCTCCCTCCCTCCTTCAGCCCGTCCATCGGCTCAGCGTCGCGGGGTCCTTACCACGGCAGTCGTCTCTCCAGCCCTGGAGATGCTTCAGGGAAGATGCAGGTCCACACTGAAGGCAGACCCAGGTCAGCAGAGACACACCTGACACCGGGCTGTGCAGCCCAGGCTGAGCTGCGTGTGGCAGTGAGCACAGAGAAGAAATGCAGGGAATAAAGAGAGGAAGTCGTGACCCTCTTTGTGGCCTTGGACTATAGATTTTCTTTCTAATCAATAGTAATCCCCCCCTTTTGTTAACTTCCCCCCTTTTTGTTTTCTACAACGTCCACCCCTGACCTCCCTGGGAACAAACCTCTGAGTCTTTCCGGCCTCCTCGGTGCCCCTTTCGTCCTTGGCTGTCCCTCTGCACCTCAATCCCTGTTCAACGTTTTGGGAACAATGACTTATGTTTGAGCTTTGATTTGGGGAGTAGGGGAGGGAGCTGATATTTATTCAATGACCGGTTATCCTCCACTGCCTACGTGACCTCGGGCGGTAGTGAACCATCTCTGAGCCTCAGTTTCTTCCTTTGCAGCTTGTTGTCGCAAATCCCACTCGTCACCGTGGTTGTGGGGTCAGTGGTTCCTGGGACATGGGAGCGGCTCCTTGGTGCTTCATTTCCAGACCAGGTGAGGACATGAGGTGTTTGGGATATGATAGGATCAGAGCGTTGGATGATTGATGTGTTCACTCGAGATCTCACATCTGAGATCCCTAATGGAGAAATCTACAGGCAGCATTTCTGAAATATGCAGAACATCAGTGTCATGAGGCATGGAAGCCCCCAAGTGTAGATGTTATGAGGCATGGAAGTCCCCAAGTGTAGATGGATCCACATTAAATAACAGAGGTCAGAGGTGGGTCGCCACAGGTGCCCAGGACCCTCACGAGGTCCTTAAGGTGGAGGTTTCCACCAAAGGTGGCACAAAGTGATCAGACTCAAAATGGCAGACCTGCCTTGGTTTATTTACTATAGAGAAACGGATTCAAATGTTTAGGAAGATTGAAATGTTAGAGAGGAGTTGTCATTCAAAACTCCTCTTCTAAATTGGAAGAGTCTAGAACATGTATCTTTCTTTTTTTCTTTTTCTTTTTTTTTTTGAGACAGAGTCTCACTCTGTTGCCCAGGCTGGAGCGCAGTGGTGTGATCTCAGCTCACTGCAACCTCCATCTCCCGGGTTCAAGCGATTCTCCTGCCTCAGTCTCCTGAGTAGCTGGAATTACAGGCGTGCGCCACCACACCCAGCTAATTTTTGTATTTTTGGTAGAGACAGGATCTCACCGTGTTGGCCAAGCTGGTCTCGAACTCCTGACCTGAAATGATCCACCAGCCTCGGCCTCTGGAAGGCATGAGCCACCGTGCCCAGCCGAAAATGTATCTTTCAACAATCTTGTGAGAAATAAATGTGTGAGGGAAGACCCAGAATTGTGGAAGAGCTCTGTGATGGTTTTTCTTTTTAGGTTCAAACTTCAGGCGAGAGCTGCTACTGCTGAATTGAGAAACATAAATGTAATTAGAGTCATTGGATCCCAGAGTGGCAGGGGCCATGCGGTGAAACTCCACTAACAAAGGCGAGATTGGTGTGATCACAGTAATGCAAAGCAGACTCAAAGCAGCAATTGAAATCATGTGACTTATGCAACCATGTGGTGCTTGCTAGTTTGTCATGGTGTTCCCATAAGTGAAATAGATAAGAAACTTAATTTTTATCTGTGTCATCAGAAAATGGCTGGGTAAAGTAAGCAAAAGTTTAACCTGAATCATAAAAGCATACACAGCAGTCCCTTAATCAATTCCTGGAATGGAGCCCGCTTATAGGCCCAGAACCCCTTGAATTATGGTGAAGGCCACACTTCCTTGACATCGCCTCTGCTACGCTGCCATTTACACGGTTAATCTCCCTCCCAGCCTTCCTGAAGGAGACCTATGACCTTTTGTCAGGGCAACTGTGCACTAGAGAAAAACACAGTTACCAGACATCTTGGGTGCTACTGGACACTGATTCTGAGCTGATACTGATTCCAGGAGACCCAAAATATCAGTGACCCTCCAGTCAGAAGGGGTTTGTGGAGATCATGTGATCAACATAGTTTGAGCTCACGTCTTTCTCAGTGTAAATTCAGTGAGTCTCAGACCTATCCTGTTGACCATATCCGCAGATCTGGTATGAACAATTGGAATAGACAACTATTCAATTTTCTTTCTTTTTCTTTCTTTCTTCTCTCTTCTTTCTTACTCCTCCTCCCCCTCCCACTCCCTTGCCCTCTCCCCCTCACCCTCCCCTGTGGGCGGCCCCCTTCCTCCTCTACCTCTCTCCCTCCCCCTTCCGGTGCGCGCCGGGGCGTGGCCGGCGGCGCCGTCCTGCCCTCGCCCCTTCGGCCGCGCCCTTCGCTCACCCTCTCCGTTTCCCCCGCCTCCCTCCCCTCTTCCCCTCATCCTCCCTCTGCTTCCCCTGCGCCCCTTCCTCCCTCTTCCCTCCCTCCCCTTCCCTTCCCCTCCTCTACACCTCTCCCCTCACCCCTCCCCTTCCCTCGTCCCCTCCCTCTCCCCTCCCCTCTCCCTCCCTCTCCCCTCCCCTCCTCCTCCTCCTCCTCCTCCTCCTCCTCCTCCTCTTTCTTTTTCCTCTCTTCTTCTCGTCTTCTTCTCTCCCTTCTTCATTTTTGAGACACAGTTTTCTCTTGTTGCCCAGGCTGAGTGAAATGGTGCAATCCTTGCCGCACTGCAGACCTCTGACCCGTCCTGGGTTCAAAGGTGACCTCCATATCTCCAGTCCCAAGTAAGCTGGGATACAAGTCCCACCCGACCATGCCAGGCTAATTTTTTATATTTTTATAAGGCAGGGTTTCACCATATTGACCAGGCTGGTCTTGAACTCCTGACCTCAAGTGATCCTCCTGCCTTGGCCTCCCAAAGTGTGGGGATTACAGGCGTGAGCCACCATGCCTGGCAACTTTCTTATCCATCACTGCTAATAAAGACCACCAGAAACCATTTTTCTTGAGCAGGCACAGCCAGCAATATACATTCACTGTCCTACCTCAGGGGCATACCAACTGTCTAGTTCTATCGCATAGTTTAGTTCTCATCATCATCATCATCTCTTTTAATAAAATATTAGACTGAATCATTACACTGATAAAATTATGCTGGTTAGAAAACCCATCAATGATAGACTGGATAAAGATACTGTGGTACATATATACATTGGAATACTATGCAGCCATAAAAAGGAACGAGATCATGTCCTTTGCAGGGACATGGATGGAGCTGGAAGCCATCATCCTCAGCAAACAAACACAGGAACCAAAAACCAAACACTGCATGTTCTCATTCATAAGGGGGAGCTGAACGATGAGAATGAAGGAGGGAGAGCATCAAGATAAATAACTTATGCATGCGGGGTTTAATACCTAGGTGATGGGTCGATAGGTGCAGTAAACCACCATGGTACACGTTTCTTTACCTGTGTAACAAACCTGCATGTGCTGTGCATGTATCCCAGAACATAAAATAAAATTAAACTAAATATCAAAAATAAAAATAAATTAAAATAAATTTTTTAAAAAGAAATTATGCTGTCTGGACCAGGAGAGCAAAAAGTAGCACCTAGTCCAGATTTATTAGTAACACATTTGCATGACAGAGGGTGAGAAGTAAATTCCACAAAAATATTGGAGCCTTCCACCTCAACACAATATCTGAGTCCACTGGTATGGAGAATGTTGAGATATATCTTCTAAAGCAAAAGATAAATTGTTGCATCTGGCCCTTCTTACCACCAAAAGAACCGTGATATCTAGTAAGCATCTTGGGTTTTTGTTGTTGTTGTTGTTGTTGTTTTGAGACAGAGTTTTGCTTTTTTGCCTAGGCTGGAGTGCAGTGGCATGATCTCGGCTCGCTGCAACCTCCGCCTTTCGATTTCAAGTGATTCTCCTGCCTCAGCCTCTCTAGTAGCTGGGATTACAGGTACCCCCCTCACGCCCAGCTAATTTTTGTACTTTTAGTAGAGACGGAGTTTCCCCATGTTGGCCAGGCTGGTCTCGAACTCCTGACTGCGTGATCCGCCCACCTCGGCCTCCCAAAGTGCTGGGATTACAGGCGTGAGCCACCATGCTAGGCCCTACCTCTTGGATTTTGAAGGCAACATATTTCTCATTGGGTGTGCCCCATTAACCCATTCACTAAGTGACTCAAAAAGAGGCGGGGTGCAGTGGCTCACGCCTATAATCTCAGCACTTTGGGAGGCCGAGGTGAGCGGATCACGAGGTCAGGAGTTCGAGACCAGCCTGACCAACATGGCAAAACTCCATCTCTACTAAAAATACAAAAAATTAGCCGGGTGTGGTAGCGGGTGTCTGTAATCCCAGCTACTCAGGATGCAGGAGAACTGCTTGAACCTGGGAGGCTGAGGTTGTAGTGAGCCGAGATGGCGCCATTGCACTCCAGCTCGGGCAACAGTGGGAGACTCTGTCCCAAAAAAAAGTTTTGAGGGGAGTGCGGCATAGGGGAAGGCTCTGCAACAAATCCAGGCCCTGCCCAAGCTCCTCTGCCACCTGGGCCGTATGATCCAGTGGAACAGATGGTGCTTGAAGTGTCAGTGGCAGGTGGAGATGCTGTTTGGAGGTTTTGGCAAGCTTCTTCCTGTAGGTGAATTGGGGCTTAGCCACTTAGGATTGTGGGGCAAACTCCTATCATCCTTCACAGATAGCTAGTCTCCTTTTGAAAAACATACATATATATATATATATGGTTTTTTTTTTTTTTTTTTTTTTGCCGAGCGTAGTGGCTCACACCTGTAATCCCAGCACTTTGGGAAGCCAAGGTGGGCAGATCACCTGAGGTCAGCAGTTCGAGACCAGCCTGACCAACATGGTGAAACCCCATCTCTACTAAAAATTAAAAAATTAGCCGGGCATGGAGACACCTGCCTGTAATTCCAGCTACTTGGGAGGCTGAGGCAGGAGAGTTGCTTGAACCCAGGAGGTGCAGGTTGCAGTGAGCCGAGATCATGCCACTGCGCTCCAGCCTGGGCGAGAAGAGTGAGACTCCATCACAAAAAAAAAAAGAAAAGAAAAGAAAATTTAAAAAAAGAAAATATATTTTTCTCCATTATTGAGCCTTAGGAGAGACCAGATGCTCGGGTGTAGGTCACCAAGGTACCGTGAAATGTGAAGTGTGT